TTTCGTTGAACAACTACTACTATATTGTGCAAAGTCCCAGTGAACCGAAATGATAGGTAACCGTGGTCTGGTCTTCCTTACATGAATGGTTCAAAAGACCCTAAGTTTTGTAATTAATGTGTGTTTTATTCTTCATATTAGATTTAACAATGCTTGATTGAGTGCACTGTTCTAAGTGCTGTTGGATTCTAGTGGTGGTTGTTCTGTTTATCAGGGAACTGGTGTTTTTCTAGTGGATAAAAACCTGTTGTAATTCCTTTTACTCTCCTATCTGCTATGTTTAGTCAGTACCTCTTGTTTCTATACGGAGTCTTTTTTTTTTTTTTTTTTTTTACTGTTCCAAAACTAGTCAGTTCTGTTGAGTTTAACTGGCAATAAAATGGAATTTGGAAATCGTTATCCTTATTTTTCCCTAGTTCCTTAAATAAATGGGCTTTCTGTTGGTGACAGATGTCTTGCAGTGATGTATCCACTGATTCACGAGTGATGCATATTATTATTATTGTTATTGCTTTGCAGTGTCGTGAGCTAAACTACACATGTTGTTGTGAAGACAAATTAATTTTCCGTGAGGGGAGGCTGTTGCAGTCTGATTCATTGGACTTTACAGTTTTTTAGGCTAGTGAAAGTTTGCAGTCTCAGATATTAAATCCCCTGGAAATGCTATCTTCTGTATTAGGCGTAGAGATGCACTTGTTTTATAGGTAGCAAAACCTTCTTTGAGATAATAGCACATTAACAGAGCCTTTTCTTATCTAAATTGAAGAAGCAGGGCTGGAGCATTTCAAGATCAGAAATACAGAACCAAATATGAGGAGGACCATGGAAGGTTATTCATAGTATGAGCAGCAAAGAGTTTGCCTGGCCAGGGTGCAGAGAAGCAGCCATCCTGTATCTCCTGGCTCTTCTATTGTGAAAGAAAAGCTTGAGGCAGCCTTAAATGTAAAAGAAGTATCTTTTTTTTTTTTCTGATACCAAATGTCTCAGGTAATTTTGGTTATTAATGAGAACATATAACTCTTCTATCAAATGATTAAAACGTCTTTGGGGTGTGAAGAGGGGACTGGTGGTAGTAACTCTTGCTGTGGAATAGGAAAGCAATAGAAGGTAGGTCAGCTGCCAGCTCTGAAGCCACTGGAATTGAAACAGCCCCATAAGTATTGGGAAAGCTGGGAAGGCAGTGAATACAGAAACACCTCACTACTGTGGGTTCTTGTTTAATAAATTTGTATGGATGCTTATGACTTTTTTTCTTGACCTCTAGGAGGCATAAACTTCCAGAAATGTTGATATTTAAGAAGTAGTGCTATTTTAAGGAATGGTAAAGCAGAGATTCACCTTGGTAAATAATCATGAGCTTATCTAAGTGAAAGTACTTTAAAGCAGCTGATATTCTGGGGTTGTGCTGCGATCTCCAGCTGTAAAATGTGGCTCTGTCATCCTGATACTAATGAAAAACGGTTTTTAATTGTCGGGGAAAAAAAACATATTTTGCAATTAAAAAACCAAAACAAAACAATGCAATTGCAAAATGTGGTTTCATCCTTGTGCAATAGGTCAAAAATCATCTTTTCAGGCCATTCAGACAAGTTTTCTAGTCAATTTTTTTAAAATATGTGTTTGATAAAGTGGAAGACCACAAAGTAATGAGGGAAAAATTAAAATATATTTAATAAATAATCAGATTGTATGGCTTATTGGTGCTGTCCTGAGTACTTGGTGCTAATACGCTGCCACAGATTTTAAAATACAGCTTTGCACAGCTCAACGTTTTATGAAAGTGTACTTTCACGCATTCCTGTCATATTAATAAAGAAATGTTTTTAATTTACAGGGCCTTGCTGGGCCAAATAGGTAGAGACGTTTGGGTTTTCTTAGGTTTTACACAAGCTCCAGTGAAGACAGTTGGATTATGGTGTGAGTGGTCTGGTCTCAGCTACAAAACCTTTCTCTGTAGGGGGGTCAGAACTTGAACTTCCATCCTCAGGTTTAGAGCAGAATTTGCAGGTCTCACAAGCGTTGGGTTGAGGGAGAGAAATACCTTGCTTGCAAGTGAAAAGCACCTGACCAGGAGATTCCTCAGAGGCTGCAAAAGTAATAATGTTGCCACGATACTTCAAAAAAATGAGTAATCTCGGGTGCACAGTAGGGAGTCAGTCGGTGTGGTATGTATTTTCAGCGGAGAGAAGAAACTAGGTCACTGATTAGGACAAAAGAGGGTAGTGTAAAATTTTGTCAGCTTAATACATTTACAAGACAATATGCAAGAAAATAGCTTCAGGGTCTGTCTTTTTTTCGCGCATTACACATTCAACACCACCCCCAAGTGTGCTTGATTTAAACAAAATCTGTGGTGCTGAAAATGGTGTTGGCATAGAAATATAGATGCATTTCCAACTCTTCACTTGAATGGATTGCTTGTGAGGAAAAAAAAATCTGTTTATTGTTAGTCAAATATATAAGTTTTGAAAACGAGGCTATCAAATCTTTTCATTAGCCTACAAAAAGCATATGTGTTTCTGATACAGATTCTAGGGTGGTGGGGGAGTAGGGAAGAGCAGGGATGGAGTTTATTTGAATAACATCCCAGTAGAGGGCAGCCTGGTATGAAGATTTTTAAAACCTTGGTAATGTCCTAGCCACGCTTGGAAAAGAGGAGCTTCCTCTGTTTCTCTGTTTAAATGGCATGTTCTTGCTTCCTCTCCAGACTTACAGAGCATATCTGTCTCTCACAGCCAGACTGTTGTTCTCAAAGTTAAACAATAAGTTATATAAAAGCCTTTCACAGTTACTGGTGTTAAAAGTCCCAATGGTACCCGCGGGAAAGTAAACAGGAGAGAAAGGAGGGGGTGAGAGGAACCCTCCCTGCCCGGTTCTGCCAGCAGTAAAACTGCACAGTCCCTGAATTGACAATTTTTTTAATTTTTTTTTTTAAATGTTTACAGCTGTCAGTTAACATCAGTGGTTCTCAGCCAGGGAGGTGATCTTGCAAATGAAATTCAGAGCACAGAGGAGTAAGCTGTGGCAGATGTGTGCTGGCTGTGCTGTGTTTTCACTGCAGGAACGTGGAAGCACGTGGATCCACGGGGGAAGAGTGAGCAACATGAGGGGGAAGGGGTCTAAACGTTGTTGGTTTGCTCCAGTGAGACTTGCTGCTGGATAAAACAGGCCTGTAAGAGGTTTTCTAAAGCCTAACTCTTTGTCAAGGCTGAATCTGGAATAGAAGCCTACTATGAATATCTTCCAGCAGCCCTGCCAATAGGTCTGGAGAATTTCACCATTAAGAAGCAGGCAGGCAATCTTTCTGGCTGCACAGGGGGCTATGGTAGATGGCAATCTACCATATAGACAAGTTCCTGATGCTTTGGTGCTTTTATTGGACTCAAAAGCAAGCTGAAAGCTATGGAAAAAATCATGTGTGTGATGTTTGTCTGTCACATCAGAAGGCTACTAATTTTACTCTGTGGTAGATTTAAGAAAGAGAATGCATGTACCCGTTGCTGTGTTCCTCTTCTGAACAAGACTGTCTCATGTCTGTTGCAATTGAAGCAGTCATAAGCACAATGTTCTAGGGTCAGAATCTCAGTTCTCTGGCTTCGATAGGTCTCCTTCAACCCCAAGCTTAGCAGAGGCTCAGAAGGATATGGTCAGAATAGAAATGCTCTTTATACCAACATGTTGTGTCTGAAATCCAAGAATAAAAAACCATCTGGAATAAGGAAATTGAATTATTAACACTCAAAGCAATTTTTCTAACCTGGGGAATGGATGGAAAGAACACATCAGCATGTTGTTTTCATATAACCAGTCATCTCCTGCACAGAGTACATCAGGGCTGCTCCTCAGAATGTGCTAGGTGGTTTCTGTTGGACCTGACCCTGAAATTATGCATTTCTGTGAT